GATGTTTTCTCCCTGCTCCCTTTGATGTCACCCACTGTAGTGGGTGCTCTGGGGGACACTGCCTGGGTCTTGGAGACAGTGTCCAGGGGGTTGGGAGCAGTGAGAAGCAGGTGAGGCATAGCTCCTTTATAAATGTTTTACTTCCACCAGGAGAGGGAGAGTGGGAGCTGTTGGTCTCAGTTTGCTTCTCCTGGAGAGGAATAGACTTTGCTCTCCAGAGGTTGCTCTTTGGAGCCTGTGTGTGAAAGGCAGCACCTTCCAGACTCAAAAGCAAGAAGCATTTTGCATTTCTTCAGTTACCTACCTGTGAAATTTTCCCTTTGTTTCTTTTGTGAGGCTGTTTTTACACAAACAGCAGAGCTCCGTGAACAGCCCCTTACCCTGCCTCTCTTTCATGAACAGCCTGGGCATAATTAGGGCATATAAAATCCACTTTGTTCATATGCCACAGGCATCACTTTTCAGCCCATGCTGTTGTTGAATAAAGCAGGTCAGTGAATTCAGAAGTGAAAAATGTCCCTCTGGTCCAGGATGTCCATCCAGCCCCAGACTGGTCCAGTAAGTGCAACAGGACAGACATGTGAGGCTGTTTTTACACAAACAGCAGAGCTCCGTGAACAGCACCTTACCCTGCCTCTCTTTCATGAACAGCCTGGGCATAATTAGGGCATATAAACATGAGGCTGTTTTTACACAAACAGCAGAGCCCCATGAACACACCTTACCCTGCCTCTCTTTCATGAACAGCCTGGGCATAATTAGGGCATATAAAATCCACTTTGTTCATATGCCACAGGCATCACTTTTCAGCCCATGCTGTTGTTGAATAAAGCAGGTCAGTGAATTCAGAAGTGAAAAATGTCCCTCTGGTCCAGGATGTCCATCCAGCCCCAGACTGGTCCAGTAAGTGCAACAGGACAGACAGACTGTCCTGGGACCCCAGCTTCTTTTACAACCCCTCCACTTTCTCTTCCTTTTGTTATGGAGTACATCTCTTAAGGAATTTGCCTAATCTCCTTTTGAATCTGCAGATGCAGCATCCACAGCATCCTGAGACAGCAAGTTCCCCAACTGTGGCTGTAGGTTTTTCCTGTCTGCTTTACACTGACCTTCTCTAGCATTGTGTACCCCCAGATGCTGGTGGGTGCTTGGCTGCCACTCTGAATCAGAGGCTTTGGAAACCCATTAATGATGGCTCTGCCCCTCAGTGAGTCTGCAGGGTGTGCCTGGGATGCAGCTGGGTACCACAGCCCCCTCCTGTGGGTCCCCAGGGTCAGCGCCTGGTCCCAGTCACTTTAACAACCACTTTTTCTGTTTGACCTCATCCCTCCTCTTACCTCAGTGAAAGTGACTTCACTTGCTTTGCCTTTGCTCCTGTTACCTCTTTACTCTGTGTTGCCCTTCTCCTTCCAATTGCTCCAGCTCTTCCAGCTGAACCACTGCAGACTGGCAGACATGGGGAACACCCCAACAGCTTCAGCTGTGAAAGCAGCACAAAGTTATCACTGACTTTCTCTGCTACATCAGCATCCCCCATCTGCCCCTTCTCTGCCCTTGTAGTCAGCATTCCCACTGATTTCCTAGCTGCCTTTGTGGCTTTGGTGTATTTAAAGAGCCTTTGTCAGCAGCTAGAGCATCCTTGGCAAGGCAATTTACAGATCTTATTTTTAGCCCTGTTTCTTTCCTGTTTAATTGTGACATGACATGTTTTATGGGTTTCTTTGTTCTTAGACCACTTTGGGCTTTTAGTGTTGGGTTTGGGGAATTTTTTTGACAAGTTGCTATAAAAATCAGTGTTTTCAACCCACACCCCAAAAGCTGGGAGAGGTCAATTTAATGTTGCTGGGAACCCTTAGTAAGCAAAGCTGCTCCATCTCCCCACACCACCAACACAAGACATGTGGCATTGAAACAGAGAGCATTACTGGGCTAAACTAAAAGGCTGAAGGATGGGAAATTTGGATAAAATAGCAGTTGATGACTTTGCAATTGCTAAACTTGACAAATGAGGAGTGACAGAGGAGGCAGGGCTAGGCTGGCCTCGCTGTAGATTGTGGGTTGTTGAACTACAAATTACCAGCAGGATCCTCTGTCTCTGGGTTGTACCAAGGTCCAGTCACCTTCCTGAGCCTAGGGTGAAGTTAAGGTGGTCTCCCCTAAACCAGGAACAGTCATGTTCACCTGCCTGAATCCCTTCAACCTCACCTGAGTTTCCCCAAACACTCTCCACACCAGGCGTTTCTCTTAGGAAGCCAAGGAGATGAAAACCTCTTGCCAGAGGAAAGGCTCATTTTCCCTTAGCTCTGTCCCTCCTTTTGGAAGGAGTGCTGTCATTCACCTTAAAAATAGCCAGCCATCAAACTCAAGAAGTGAAAAGTCAAGCTCCTTAGTCTGCAGTGGCATCTTACCTTCATTGTTCACTTTTGCTTGTTTATGCTTCCAGCTTGGCACATTGCATGCAGGACCTGCATAAAAACAGTCTCCTAGAGGAAACAAGGGGTGTCTTCCTCCAACAGGCAACCAGAAAAAATGCAAAGTGATTCCTGCTTTCAGGTCTGAAAGGTGCTGCTTCCACCTGCAAGTCTGGGTGCTGGGCTTTGCTGGGGAATGTGTGGATGCAGAGGTTTAGCTCCCAGTTTTGGGGCTGGTTTCAGGTGTAAGCAGTGCTAACAGCAGCAGGCCTGATCCCCCCACCCATTCTTACCCTGCCATCCTGAGCTGCAGCTCCTCTGAGGAGCTGCCCAGACCCAGGTTCTTACCCCACTGCCATCCACAGCACCTCCCCTCCCACCTCCATTGCTTGAATATGCTTGGGTATATCTAAACAAATGTAGAATGGCATATGACTGAAGCTATCCCAATATTCCCAATGAAGTATGTGTTACAACCAGGCAAACCTCTGTCCCAGCTCCTTTAGCACACCCTGTGCAGACATGCCACGCAATTGCACTCTCTAGAGTGACTTTTGGTCTAGGATAAAAGTTGGTGGCAGATTTGAGTGGCAGCCTCTTCCCACCTCCTCTGCAGGTCATGTGCCAGCAGGACACTCTGCTTCCCAGGGACACACTGCACCTCAAGGGAGAAGATGGATGGGAGAACCCAGGATGCAAAATGAGTTGTGGCAGATCCCTGCAGCCTCTCAGCCTGCCTGCAGGCATGTCCACACTCACACTGACAGTGAGGACCCAACTCAGCTCCTTTCCTATACCTGGATTTTGAAGGATGTGCAGCTGAAACAAAGCATGAGTCAAGAGGCAGCAGTCATAAAACTCAATAGCTGTTTTCCATGATGACATTTCCCAGAATAATGACACATTGCTAATAGACAAACAGAAGTGAAATATCTGGGAGTTTGCCCTTTCGGTACAGAATTCCAGTCCAGATAAAAGAACTGTAACAGCCTTTGAAATGCTAAAAAGGAGCAGGCTCACAGTGGTATCTGATTGCCCCTCCCCAGCACAAGCTAAATGAGAACTGGTAGCAGTTGCAGAAATTAGCTTTGAATTAGAGCAATGAAAATTCCTCTGCAGTTAAATGATGCAAACACCTGACTGTTTTTGCTGTTTTTATTACCTGTGATAGTACATGTCGGGATATCACACCCTCAATAAAGTTTTACTGCATTAAAGTTTCTCATTCAGCATTCAGCTGCATTTCCAACCTCTGTTGCTTTGCAAAATAATAGGAGATAACACTTAAAAACCTTTCCACATGCCTCTGTAGCAGGTTACTGTTACATGTATTTTATGCATGGAGCCAGGCAATTTACCTCAGTGAAAGACCACGATGACCATTCCAGTGGGCTGTTATTGTTGATAAAGAAAAACCTTTTCATTCAGCTCCATGTAAGCCCAGGTTTCAGTCTGCCATACAGAGATTGGGAGGAGGAGGTATCCAAGCAAAAGTAGCCAGCTGAATGAAGCTGAGCTTCATGACTTTTGGCCAGTTTCTGCCTTTATCCCATCCACTTTCCAGTGTCTCACCACATGCAAACTTCCCCAGAGTGGAGTCTACATGGGGTTAACAGAGTGCTGCAGACAGCAGAACCTTTTCCTGCTGCTGAAAAGTCAGAGAAAAGGGGGAAAGAAAAGGTCTGAGCAGAAAGATTAGAAGCTGGGAGCATCTCCTTCACCCAGGTTATTGTGGAGACAAACAGGGCTCAAAGAAAAAGAAGGGGGCAGCAGCATGGAAATTGTTGGGGAAGGGAACTGGTCCAGTTTTTCTAGCCAGAGGAAAAATGGGTCTCTCTGCCTCTTGTGATAAGTGTAAGCACTGTGCCTTGCTTTGCTCCTCACAGGACAGTACTCTCAAAGGAAAAGTCAAGAAATAAGACCAATTCCCTCCCATCCTCTGAGCAAGGTATCATGAGTAGTTAAATGCAGCTAGCCCCGCTCCCTCGGAGCCATGCTGAGCGTGCAGAGATGCACACAGATGGTGGGCTTGGCTGGGGCCACCAGAACCTGGTGTCCTACAAACCCTGCCAATGGCAGACACCGTGCAGCCAGGTGACAGGAGAAAACTGGAGGAAACAATGAAACCTCAGGAGAACAACAGAGAGAAAACGGCACCTTTCCTCACCAGGCTGAGAAAGCAGGGTCTACCTCCTTTTGCTACAGAAGCCACATAAGAAAGATCAGGACCATGCAGGTCCCAGCTTTCAATCACTTAACTGGCAAGTGGGAGCTGGTTTTGAACATGGAGAGACTGGGAACAAGCATCTGCATGGACACCCTGGTAATCTGCACCCACATACGATGTTCTCTACCCCCAAACTTGTCATTTAAGACACTTCTTTTCAGCCAGTAACAGCTACCATCAGAGCAGCTTGTCCAGCATTATCAAAGGAGATCCAGCTGCACTAACTACACAGTTCCCACCAAAAGCAACCACTGAATATTGGTACCAGTCTCACAACAATAAACATTTTAACTTAATTAATACTTAATAACATTTCTGAACTCCTGAGTGAAAGCTGGGTGCTGATGTAATTAGTCTGTGCACACTTGTGTCTAAACTATGCATAAATTTTAACATAAAACAGTCTCTGGAGTTTTAAAAAACACTTAAATCACTGGCAGGAGCATAAGAAAGCCTTGGTACTGAGAAAAAAATAATGTTTAATAGGAAAAGTTAATCTGCACATATAAAAACCAAATCACAAAATACAACAGAATTAAATGATTCTTTAAATGATTGTAATCTATAAATATATGTACATATGTGTGCATATAAGTATTTTATATAAATATAATGTTAATGCCAGTCAACAGATAATGCACACTCAGTAAAATACAAATTCTTTTACAGACAGGTTTATTGACTGTATGTAAGAAATTAAAAAAAAAACCAAACCAACCCAAACACCAAGCTTATTATCATTCAAACATAAAGACTGCAGAAGAAAGAAAAATGCTAACACTTTCCACAGGAGCTAAAAATGTAAAATCAATGCAGTTTTGCAAGATGAAGAAGAATAGTGTTTGTTTGGAGATATTGTATCTTGCCATTGTATTGGGAAAGAAGACTGTGGAAAAGGTCAGACAAGTGCCATTGTCTCTCACAACCCATGTCAGCAGAGAACTGAACAGAATGCTTTCAGGTGACAAATACTGGGGGTTGAGGAGGGTGAAAAAACCTGTATCTAATATCATAAAGTGAAACACGTCAGATTCTCATGAAAAACAGTTTTCATTGTCCCAAAGCTGTAGTTCAAATTAAGTGAGCACAAATCCAAGTGAAGCTCTGGGTACTGATCTTTTTCAGCATCACAAATATTGCCTGGACCGTCTTCCAGAAGAACTGAAAACCAGCAGGGTTAGAATCCTGGTATCTTGTCTACATTCACTCTCTTGCCAATGCACTGGCCTCTTTGAAGAAGCCTAATGTTTATTGGAGCACATTAGTTCTTTTAAAAGAAGTCCTCTTCTTCACCCTACTCCCTAACATTTTTCCCTTATTTTAAAGTTGATCTCTTTCAAGCAAGAATCTTTCTCTAGAAAACCTTGAGAGAATCTGGGGTTAAGGTCGTTGTTGTCTCTTCTGCTGAAGTAACTGCATTGGTGAGAGGCTGTGAAACTCCTTGCTCTGATCCAGTGTTGTGGTGGTCGTCCATCCTTCTGCTGCTCTGCTCACTCAGTATCTGCTCTGTGTCCTAAAGCCCGTGGGCTCCCGTGACATTTCGTACTACAGAGAATGTTCAGAAAGAAAAGAAGAGAAATAAGGACTCACAAAGATCATCAAGTCTAACACTTGTATGAATGGCCCATACAGGGTTTGATCCCACAGCCTTGGTGTTATTAACCCAAACTGAGCTAATCTCAAGCCTCTGCTTCCTCTCTAGCTCCCTTGCAGAATTCAAGGATAAATCAGTCTTTTTTTTTTTTCTGCAACATGCCTAACACTTGCATGAAGGGCCCATACAGGGTTTGATCCCACAAGCTTGGTGTTGTTACTGAGCTAATCTCAAGCCTCTCCTTCCTCTGTGGCTCCCTTGCAGAATTCAAGGATAAATCAGTCTTTTTTTTTTTTTTGCAACATGCCTTCCACATAATGACACACCTCTGCTGACCAGGGTCCCCTGTGCCACAGCAGTCCAAAAACTATTGGACTGTTCTATATTATTCATGGCATTTCACACCTTTCCCCTCTGCAAGACTGCAGCAGCTGCAGGTGCTCTTGCTGTGAACAAAGCAGCAGCAACCAGGCAAGAGCACACAACCCCTGGACATCAGTTCCAGCTTAAACTGACTGAATCTTGCATGAGGCTGCAGCGGGGAGGTGCCACTGCAGCACCTGTTGACTCTACAGCAGCCCAAAAGAAGCTCAGGAGGTAGCAGCCTGTGATGCTTGCAGGCACACCTGTGCTGAGGGATGGATTTGGCCAGTGCAGAAAAATATCCTATGACACAGCAGGCCACTGGGCAGCCAAGCTCTTGCTTTGACCCTTGTTTTTCACATATCCCTCCTGTGGCTCAAGGATGACTGCTGGGGCTTTAGAAAGGTCTTCATGAGTGCTGATCTCTGCATTGAGGAAAATTTCTGTATTAAGATAACTTTTTCCAGCTGCAGCTACAGTTGTTTGGGTGCCTTTATACCACTTTGAGACCAAGGGAGGATGTATAGAGGGGAGCTTAGGTTCCAAAAATGTCTGTAGCCCACAGTGCTACAGTTCAGGAATTCCATTCCCACAGGACTATGTGAAACACTTACCAAATCATCATAATCCCTCTCTGGAAAACGATCTCTATGTGCAGAACGCATCTCATAGGGGTTGTTGGGCTGATATCCTGGGTTTGCATGGCCAGAAGTGGTCTGCACCCTGGGGAACATGCTTGGTCTGTCTTCAGAGGCATTAATGTCAGAATACCCTGACTTCATCAGGCTCCTCTTCTCTGGATTTTGTTTGTGCTTTGCTCTTCAGAGAAGATGAAAGAACAAAGATTTTAAAAGACTGTTTAGTGTGCCTTACTTATTAAGTAAAATTTACTGATTTGTCCACTCCCACCTTATTTTGAATGCTCAGCCCCCTTCTGAAGCATGCAACAAATTCTTATAGCATGTTTTTTTTTTAGCTAGTGCAAACCTGCAGCGGCTACCCTTATTTTGAACACCCAGCAAAGCAGTTTCTATTCAACTGTAAGGAATACTCTTACCTGACTGAAATAACAGAGACTGCTATCACTAAACTCAGGATAATGGCTCCAAACACTGTGCCCACTATTATAAGGATGAGTTCACTATCTGAGGGGAGGAACAGCAAAAAAGAAACGTGTCAATTGATAACTCACAGTGAATATTGAAAAATGGAAGGGAAGGGAAGGGATTTATTTTAAGGCTCCCGGTGCTTACAACATTTTGTGGACACAGAAGGATGTAAATTAAGGATCTGCATTAAAGACCATCTCTGATGGATGGCTGTTTTGACTCCAGCTCTACGTCCTAATGCTGTGCACTGAATGGTTTTACTCATAGTTATAGGTGAGGAACAGCAACAATTGGATTTAGGGGTTGTTTCAGCTAGTATTGATGCTAAACTCTGTAGTTAGGTGCCAAATGGGCTCTTCCTGTGCCCTAGGCACATAAGATAACAGAGAAATTTCACTTCTTTTCCCATAAAGTAGTCTTTCTATAAATACAGAATGGTGGCATCCCTAAAGGCTACCACTTCTTTTTTTTTTCATCTCAGACAGATTAAGAATTACTAGGTATTTTTCAAGACCATAATTAAAAATCAGAAATTCTTATACTTACTGTCAGTGCAGTCCTCCCCAGAGAAGCCCACTGAACAACTAGAGGAGAGAAAAAAGAAAAAGGGGAAAGAAAGAAAGAAAAGATGATTTTTAGGGTCCCATTTAATCCAAACCATTCTATGATCACAAAACAATAGTATATTTCACCAATTTATCAGCAATTTCTCCACAAAGTGTGTTCATTACAGGTTTCCTCTTTAACTCTATCTTACTGATAAATTATTTACTTTCATTAAAGTGAAACAATCTGCGATTTTCAGAGTGATTTGTGATCTCAGCACTAAAAGTTTCAGCTTCTCAGTCTGCAAAATGTTAAAATGACCTAATTTTTCTAAAGAACTAAACTCTGCACCTCTGAGGTACTTAGAATTGGCATGCAATATCTTTAACACAAGCCTCAGTATAAGGTCTATAAGGACTGGCAAGTCTATCTTCCTCCCACAGTAGTTTCTTATATTTAAAAGATATCAACTTTATGGTAAGAAATGTTCAATTTGCAGCAGTAATAACTACAAAAAGAGCTGAATTAATGGATATGGGGAGTGAGTCTCTTTATCCACCTGAGCACAGCACAACCAGTCACTCACTTGGCCTCACCAGCAAACACCCTTGTTCTGTTCTGATCCTGAGCTGACAGAAATAATTGCAGAGAGAAAACCAAGCAGGAATTAATCACTAAACTCAGGAATTAAGGTCTGAAAGTTGTCGGGAAACAGTCCCCACTGACACCAGTGCAAACACTCCAGGGACTGGAGGCACGTCCTGCTCTAATGCCTGTTGCTTACTAAACACTTCAGCAGAGCAGCTCCCATGGCTCAGCCCCGCTGCCAGAGCAGTTTGTGTTTATGTGTTTAGGTGGTGAAGCACTTTATCCTCTTCACTGACTCACGGGTGACCTTGGCTCTCCTTCCTTTCCTCCAAGGAGTTATGAGTGCACACAAAAGACTAATGCCAAGGAGTGAAAACGCCACGACTTGTGGCACCAGAGCTTGTGACACCCCCTGCTCCCCCTTTGTGATTCACGTAGCTGCAGCCTGTTCTTCTGGGCTGCAGCTGGCCCTGTGGAAGATGTTCTTCTCCCCTGCCTTCACCCACAACACAGGGACGCAATCAAAAGCTGAGTACTCACGCCACACATTCTCCATCCTGATTTTTAAAGTTAATCATACATTTGCATGTTTGACCCCCTTCTTCTTGTATGCAGTACTTGCGATTCTTTGCAGAGCAGGTTTTACTGCAAACTGTATTTTCAGGGAGAAAAACATGAGTGAATTGCAGATAGAAGATTATTTTATTGCTCTGGAAACACACACCCACCCCTCTCCTGTGCTTTGAAGCACCCAAATGTATTTTTTTAGGGCTGTACCCATGTAAAGCAAAAACTGAAATATAAAATCACAAAATTAGAAGTAAATAGGCTGTGTTCAAAACCATCCAACTTCATCAAAAAGGAAATCTGGCTAGGCTGCATCTTCCATAGGCAAGCAATGGCCTGAAGTTTGATCTCACAGCAGATGATTTGCCTGGCAAATTGTATCAGTTTTAGTCAGGCATGACACCACAAAGGCCTACACTGGATCACATCTCACTGGGATTTATTGTAGCCAGCTTTCATAGCTTTATCATGGATTTTTGAAATTTTTTTTGTTTTTCTAAAAATTTTACATGTTAGACTTTTTTTACTTCTGTAGTGTGAAAATTTTAGTTTCCATAAGAAGAAAAGAAGTTACTTCGAAGAAAATTAGGGACATCACAGGGCTTTGGAGGGTAGCCAAAACATAAACAGAGCACTCACTAAAAGACTCCAAACAAGAAAGTAAGTAAAACTAACAGTTTTATTATTAAACTAACAGTTTAGTACTAACAGTCCCCAAAAATGACAGAAAACATTCTTCTCACAAAAGCCTGTCTAAATCCAGGTAATGCAAACATAGAATTAAGAACAAAGGACAGAGACTTAACAGGCTATTGTAGTGCATCATGAGACTTTCAGTTCTGCCAGCTTCCTTCAAGTAACTTGTAGAATTTATTCCCAAAATATGTCCTAGCAGAGAAGGCTGTGAGTATAGGATTCAATTTGTTCCATCCTTTATGTGTTTAGGTTTCAGTTCTCACCAGGACTCTTAACAGTGCATTTAAGGAGTTGCCTACTCACTGCTTTCAGTGATTATTTCATCAAGTTTTAATATTTTATTCTACTGGAATAAAATTATAGATTTGTTTAAAGTGACATATGAGGATATGTTTCTATGGCTTTCTTAACAGTATGCCCATTCCCTGATTTTCAGAAGGCAGCACATTTGCCCAGCACCTTTCTCAAAAACGGACGAAAACAGGGAATAAGCAGATCAGCCTTTCAGTGATAGATAAAGCAGAGAGCTTCTTACCTTTACAAGAACGATCATCCCCTTGTGTTTTTTCTAAATCAGGTTTGCATTTGCATTCTGGAAAATCTTCCCCTTCACACACTGTGGTTTTAGGATCACATCCATAAATATCACAATGTGTTGCCACTTTAAAAGAGAAACAAGGAGCAAAGTTGAATACCCTTCCATAGAAAGCAGTGCACTTGCCCAGTAAATCATAAACCAATTATTTAATAATTCTAAGCAGAAAACAATTATAAGTCCTTTTCTTCGGGCATCAAGATTGCAAACTTTTGGACTAGCCCTTTTTTTCTTCCTTGCTCTTTAACAGTTGAAGTCCTGTTTCCATCACTTCTTCTGACCTTCTGTTTCTCAGCCTCCTGTAATTATCTCCAAACCTTCCTGGCTCCAGCCCATAAAAAGGGACATTCTTCCCATAAGTTCATATTCTGAAAACTAACTTTCTGACTCACCTTATAAAAATTTTTAAAAAAACCAATAACAACCAAAAAAAAAAAGCTTTTAAAAAAGCTGATTTCAAAATAGGAACTTATATTAAAAAGAAAATAGAAAAAGCATCCTTATTTTAATTAGGAACTCATTCTCCCAGCATTACACCTTTAATAATGCAAGAATTTACTAGTTTAAATCAACAAATCCCTTAGCTCAGTAGCTAATAAGTGAGGCCTCATTTCAATTATCATGGCTTATTATGGGAGAAGTCTAAAGAGAGTTTAATCCTATTTTGCCAGTAAAATACTAGCTTATTCTCAGAAGCATAATATATATATTTTTTTTTTTTATCCTGATTTTTCCCACTTCTTAACACTCAGCAGGTTAAAACCACCATGCCATTGTTTACCAGGGAAAAATATTTTCCTTTTCTTCTTTACAGAGGGAGTAGGAAGCCTTAATAAGACAAAAGAGCCTAGCACTGAACTGTTGGCTCTTCAAAATTACCAAAGATTGAACATTCAGCTCCTTAAAATCAACAAGGCTTATGATTTGATGCCCACAGAAATCTTCCAAGTAGGTTTTAAGAAGCTCTGTTTCTGCTGATTAACTGCTTCCCTAGCAAGGGGTTACATACCCTCATAAGAATCAACCAAGGACCGGTCATTCCTGATTGCCTTTTCTATTGCAGCGCTAACAGTGGCCGCAGTTGCATCGGAGCTCTTCCTGAACAGGTTTGTCACTGCTACATTCAGTCCTGGAGCAGCATTTCTGCTTTCACCTGGACGTCTGAAAAGGACAGATAATACCATTTTAAAGTTTCACATCATCTATATGGATAGCAAGCTAGATGCAAAGATGAGAGAAAATTTCTGCCAAATCTCCCTCTCTCACCCAGCTTCTTTCTTCCCATAAAGTAGGTAGTTGCCAAGAGACCTGAAAATGAGTGTAAGTCATGCTCAGGAATACATTAACAGCCATCTTTCCAGTAGGTCCAGGTGTAAATAGGTAGCTGCTGGCTTTAGTGATAACAGCACTTCGCCTTTGCATGCTTTTGATACACAACTGGCATTTTCTAGCTGGGTTAACCTCAAACCAGCTGCAGTGTGGAGAACCTCATCTCCTAAACCCTAATTTTCATATGTTTCCATCAGCCTGTGGTGTTATCCAGGCGTGATGTGGAGAACCCACCCTGATGGGTGATGAGGATAATTCAGGGTGTGACCTTGCAGAAGGGTCTGTTTGCCATGTAGAGCATCTGTGCAAGCCACACACTATCTGGGTTGGGTTCAGCTCACAGCAACCTCCCTGGTGTGAGGTGGAGAGCAGCAGTGACTTCCCTGTTCTTCAGCTAAACCTCCTGCTGCCAGGATATGCACACAAATATCCTTAAGTGGCAGACTGCTCAATTCCTTGAGGTGTTACTGTGCCCCACGTCACAACTGCTCTGCTGGAACTCTGCTAGAACAACATTCTGCTTAGCTGCTTAATCCCTGGGGTGCCCTGAAAAGGCTGACACTGCGTGCTAGCATGCCAGGTTTTGCTTTATAGGGGTTAGGAAACACAGAGAAGATGGCAGAGCTCTGGGGACAGTAACCTGTAACAGATGGGGATAGGAAACAAGAGACTCACAGGGTCTACCTAGACCAGCAAGGGACCAATGCCCACAGCTACACCACAACCCATCCAGTAGCATCTTTTCTCAACCTGCCATCAGGAGACACCAACAAATGCACAATAAAAAATGCATTTGCTATGCCTTCTGTAACGAGGGTTTTTAAATTAAACTGGGACTCCCAGCTGGGTGGCACTCCCAACAGGCACAGGAACTCAGAGCTAACTGTTAGAATTTCAGACATATCAGATATCACAGGGACTGCTAGCTAGATCACAGGGCTGCATCCTACATGGTGCTAGAAGCAGGACATACAGTGTGGAGCTGCCTCAGCCTGCCCATTTCACAGAAACACTGGGGTAAAAATGGGGCCAGCATCCCTCCTGTATGGGCAAGCATTTTGAGCTCAACTCATCCCATATCTTTTATTGAACTGAGAACTTCAGGGGAAACAGATTAAAATGAGGTATGTGGAAGTATGTACTGTGCAAAAAACAAACCAGCAGACTTACTGAATTTTCACGATGACAGTTTCTTCATAGTCTGTTAGACCTTTGAAGGCCTCCTTAAACTATAAAAGAGATAGAAATTAGAGTTCAAGGCAAGCAGAAACATAGACCAAAATCACATGAACCGCTGAGGTTTCAGCAGTAAAGTTTTTATGCAGAATATGCTACTACAGGCACAAATAAAGGAAGGTGATGTGTTAAATCCACCAGGAAAGGTATTGCAGAAGAGGAACAGTGGGGTGCTGCTGTAGAATATGGATGGGAGGGCAGTGGAGGGAGGGAGAATGAATGTCAGGCTGGCTTAACTGGCTGATAGCTACAGATACCCCTTTGCAAACTCTTTGCTTAGGAGGGTGTCTCCACAGCACCAGTCTGTGTACAGGTAGGGGGAAGAAGGAGAAGTTGATCTCCTCACAGATGGCACGTGTCCCTGAGAGGCAGTGAAGTGGGATCATCAGGGTCAGTCTTGTGGGAAGAAGCACTGATGAAAGCGTTGGGAGCTCACCAGGATCAGAAGAAAAGCCACTGCTCTCCCTCATCCCATGAGAAGCAGGGAACAACCAGTGGAGGCAGCTGCCTTCAACTGCCACAACAGCAGGAGGCACCATGAGAAGAGGATAAGATGTCTAATTCAACTGAAATGAAATATTAACTCTCTCTTTCTTTGTAATAAAATTCAAATCACTTTCCATGCTATTTTCACTTTTGCATTCTATTATGCATTTATTTTAGTCCTACATGTGATGCTCTTCCATAGCCATATCATGAAAAAAATGTTGGACAACAAAAATTTGAGAAAATATTTTTTAACATTCTGGAGGAACAACTTTTGGTCACTTTCTGAGACAACCTTCCTAGTAAGCAATATAATAATATGCAGGAATTGATAACCATTTTTGATCATTCCTGATTAACATAGTGAATATTTTTTAATCAGATATCTGGTAGAGTTGCATATATGTTCTTCCATACTGCCAGAAAGAGAAATACACAAATCCCCTTGTTTCAACATGGCAGTATAAATTAAACTGATCATCTTATTTCTCCAGGAAATCTATTACCAGATTTTATGTATAATCATAGAATTATAAAAAAATGTTCAGTATCCATTTCACTAATAACATTAAAATACTAACACTGGAGACTTATGGAAGAGTGTTATTATTTGTTATTTAGATACAGCTGGACAGCCATTTGGAAAAGTTTGTGCTGCACGGAGTCAATAATTTTCTTTAAAAAAAATTTAAAGTTGTTCATTTTTACTTATACTACTGATTATTATTGAGTCTTCAGCAAACAGTGGAGCTCAGAAACTCAATAGGCTGGAAAACTTCACTCAGCCCCATTGCTTCTGGAGAGGGAATGGTGAAAGATGCAGAGAAATTTATGTGAGAACTCCCCAGAACAGAAGTGGTACTAAAAATGCAGATATTCGGGGATTCCCTTCACTTTAGCAAGAGCCATGCATGTGTCATCTGAGGGCAAAGTTCAAGTCTTTTATAAATAGGTCTAAACTAATGTGAAGCATTCTTTGAAAGAAGTAGAAATCTTGCAGAGAGGAACTTTTCTAGGCCCCACATTAGAGAGTGCCCTGTCTGTCTGCATGACATCCAGTATAGCTTTAAATATATGGGAGGGGAAAAAAACCCATTGTCACTCACAAAGGCTGATAATTTGTTGGACAGTTCTTGATACTCTGTGGAATTTACAAATTGAAGATTTTCACTATAAGATGCATTCACTGTAATAGTGGCTGGGTATATTTGCCCTGGAATGAGAACAGAGAGTGTAAATTAGAAAGCATTCAAGAAAGTCCAGTTTCACCTTAGAGTTCTCCAGCTTTTAGGGATGGGGAAATAATGCAGAAAATAAATCAGTTGTATTTTTCCTATACGGGAGGGATCAATAGAGGACAAATCAATTCAGTCACAGTGGAAGATGTTCTTTGGCTGCCAGGGAAGAAGGCAGGATCCTGGGCCCAACCAAGCTGTCCTGATTATGAAACTGAGTAACATTAAACTGTCAGCATGGCCTGAAGCTACAAGACTTTTTGCAAGGTGTTACAGAATTTAGTGAGAAAAAATGTATATTGAGTACTCCAAATTTGCAGCTATTAAGCACCTAATGTGGTTCACTGTGGTTTACAGAAAAAGTAATTCAGAATCAAACTGCTTCTTAAGCCTCACAAGTAAATCTGAGAATCCTGCCTGCTGATCCTCAAATAAGAAGCCCTATTTTCTCACATTCTTGGCCTTCAGAAGCATTTCAGAGATGCATTTCCACAGGACTCTGATGAATGTTTAGCAATGGGGAAAAATCAATCTGGTTGTTCACATGTCTTCATAAGTCTGGTCCTTTAGAAATCATTGCCATTGATATTAATGTCAGGTTTACACTTGCATTTTTTTCCTGCTTTTCACTCATTTTAATCTCCTACACCCCTGACAGAGAATTCACCTTCTTTTCCTAGAACATTAACCTCCTTGGCTGTCACTGTTTTGCAAGATTGCAATCTAGGCCATTGCAGGAGTGGCTGCCTGCAAAGCAAGAAATCACTCAGCAGTCACTTTCCCAGACTGATTATGTTTTCAGTTATAACATGACAACAAGCTATATGGGAAGCAAAATTCACCTGAGCAGGAAACCAAAAGCATTGATGCCCTTCTGCAACTCACCTTTGCTACAACTCTTATTGCTGTAGTAGTATCCATATTTGCACACACAGGTATAATTGCTTTGTAAGGAAATACAGGTAGCTGAACTTCCACAAGGATCTCCACGGCAGAAGTCCACTAATACCAAGATGAAAGATATTGACATTAGGGTTTCTGTGAATTTCTTCAATAGCCAGCTCGTGTATAAAGTCATTCATATATTGAATAGTTCATAGATACTATGATTCTGCTAAGGGAAGCTACCAGGTATCTTGTAGAGAGTATAGATGCAATTGCAGAGCATACAGCTATATATCTTGCTTGTTGAATGCATAGTAACTGTTTTCCCTAGACAATCCAGCAGGATATCACAGTGAGGACACAGAGTATTGCTGAAATTCATTCTCTGTCACACTGAGCATTCACAGTTCAACACTACTTAATACAACTAAAAGCAAATCAAAGAAAGAAGGTATATCAAGGCTTGCCAAAACCAGTGACTGTTAGAAAAAGACAGACTGCAATAGTCTGTGTGGCTTTAATACTGCACTGGTAAATATTTGCCTTATTATGACAGTATAGCACAGTCCTTTACTGCAGACACATTAATGAGGACAACAAAGTGAATCACAATAGTATATTTTCTCAGAGTAATTATATATATTCTGTAAGGTTTTAGAGTATGTATTTTATATCTATATCCATAACTTAAGTGGTTAATAAGTAATTAAAATTTATACTTTTATACATCTTATATATAGGATGGCAATTACAGTTCTCATTCAAGCTATCAAATTCTGTTTTTCACCCTGCCTTGTTTTTTTACACTTCACGTCCTAAGTACAGTCTCATACTTGAGACATTTTCTGTGAAACGGGGGAAAAAATAAGAAGCTCATTCATATCCCCCCGCAAAAAAAAAAAAAAAAAAAAGAAAGAAAAAAGAAAAGAAATTAAAACACTCAATGAATTTTCATTTCCTATAAGGTTCATCTCCAAATATATTTTCCAGAGAATCTAGTGAATTTTTTTTTCCTGATGAAAAAGATCCCAAGCTCAAGGCTACAACAATTGTGAACTCTTCCAAACACATCCCACTTGGAGCAAGGGCCCTTGTGAAAGAGTGGCAGGGAGATACAGCATTAAATGAGGACACTTTGCCTACACGGAAGGCCCTACTGGGATTAAAAATGGTGGGGTATGGAGAGCTCAGGACAGACACATGCACTGTCCCCCAGAATGTGCTCCTGGCCCCAGCTGCATGCCAGGATGTGCCTCAGATCCCTCCCTGCCCATGCTCCAACAGCCTCAGGGACAACTCCCTGCAGGGCCACGTCAGGGGCTGGCCTGGGCACCTCTTTGCAGGCATCCTCTTGTATCCCTGTCTGGTGCATGGATCACCTTGTACCCAGGCCTGGTGTGAGAAGCAAAGGCTCCAAGCAAGAAAGGAGCAGCCTCTTCAAGTGTCCCCCAACACATTTGCTTTACAACAAAGACCAGCAGGGAAAAATGAAGAGTGGAAGTTTTTCAAGATCATGGTCTGGGTAATTTTTTCTCCAGTGGGAGAAGAACTCAGAGAAACCCAGGCAGGGGAACTTCTCCCTGCTTGGATATATGCAGGGCTCCCTGGAACATGGTTACTGAAAGCTGACCCAAGAAGGTGAAGCCTGAAAGCTTTTCTCCTTACCTGAAGGTTCTGTGATTGGCGTCTCTGTTCACATTCTCCTTGCAGCAAAGACCAGCAGGAAAAGAGGGAAGAGTGGAGGATAATCCATCTGGTAATAATGGGCACCATTTGGTCAGCTTAGTCTCTTCTGGAAGAGGAACTTGGGAAACCCAAGCAGGGGAACTCCTTCTTGTCTGAGGGAGCTACAGAGCTCCCTGGACTTGGTTACTCCAAGCTGTGCTTACAAAATGCTGCCTCAGCATTTTTGCTCCTTACCTGCAGGTGCTGAGGTTGGGGCAGGATCTGTTCCATTTACAGCACTGTTATCTGAAAAAGGGAAGAGAAGAGACGTGGCAGCACTGCCTAGCACGATGGAAGAGTGGATGTTTTTCAAGGTCATGGTCTGGGTAACGTTCTCTCCCGTCAGAGAACAAGTCAGAGAAACCCAGGCAGGGAAACTTCTCCCTGCTTGGATATATGCAGGGCTCCCTGGAACATGGTTACTGCTACTCAGAAAAACCCAGGCAGGGAAACTTCTCCCTGCTTGGATATATGCAGGGCTCCCTGGAACCTGGTTACTGAAAGCTGTCCCCAGAAGTGGAGGCCTAAAAGCTTTTCTCCTTACCTGTACCTTCTGAGGTTGGCATCTCTGGTGGGTCGGGACCTATTCCATTTTCAGTACCGTATTCTGAAGAAGGGAAGAGAAGAGACATGGCAGCACTGCCTAGCATTGTCTGTTCAAAAAGCCTTTGGCAATTCTGGGTTTGTAGGACAAGCGCTGAGCAGGGAAGTGCTGTGGACCATTGTGGGGCTGAGCAGTCAAAGCCCTGAGCACCCTTGCCCAGCCTCTTGGCTCTCCCTGGCTCGGATGCCTGTGCCACCTCATGTGTCCATGACCCCTTGTCCCCCAAGGGCAGCGCTTGAACACAAGGACCTTACACACACTGTAAGGTAGTGTCCCCTGCTTTGTGGACACGGCTGTGTCAGCCAAAGCTGTCACTTCCAGTGGCAACCAGCCTCATTCACACGTCCCTGCAGGATCTGGTCACAGGATTCCCCTGGGCATCTCTACAGGGATCCCCTTCTATCCTGGTCTGATGCAGGACATAAAGGTGCCAAGCACAAAACCAGCCGCCTCCTCAACTCTTCCCGAGTGCTTCCTTCTTACAGCAAAGAGCAACAGGGAAAGATGGACTTGTGGAGGGCATTCACAGCCTTGATCCGGGCACACCTGTCTCCCCTGGGAGAGGAATTCAGGAACACCTCTGTGGGGGCTGCAGAGCTCCCTGGGACTGCTCCCAGAAGGGGCTGCCTGAGGGCTCTGCTCCTTACCTGCAGGTATTGAGCTTGGCGTCATTGTTGTGCCAGCAGATGTTTCAGCAGGGGCTTCTGATGGAGGGAAAAGAAAAGAGATGGCAGCACTAGGGAACTCTTTGCACACAGGACAATTGATGAGCAGACAAGTCTGGGAGGACCTGTGTGTGTTGCTGAGCAGCCACTCCTCTGGGCAGCCTTACCCTGCCTTTTGTCAGCCCCAGGCCTCGTGCTGTGCTGTACAGATTCCTGTGGACATTTCTATTCCAGGAATTCTTCTTCTGTCACAGAATCATCTTGAATATCAAGACCTTCTTTCCCTGGACTACACCTCTATGTATTTCTGACAGTATACATTATTTTTCCTCTTTCTATTCCTTCCCTGTCATAATTATTTCTGAATAGAAGGAACCCTGCGTGATACCAGCCAATTGTTGAAAATACTTCCTCAAACTTTGGTTTCAGCCTTTGTTATTGTTTTCTTTCAAAATATTCTAGTTATTTGTTTTTCAGTTGTTGGGTTTTGCTTTATTTAACCTGTGTCATTCTCAACTCTTGATAAAAAGAATGAGTTCAGGTTTGAGGGGTTGGTTTGTTTTGTTTTTCTTAGATGTAAGAAGAACAAATAAGAAACCAACCTTGCTGATAAATGTGTGATACTGACAAATGGCCAGTTTGCATCATGTAATCTAACTTTAATCTGAATTAGTTAATTCTTATTATTAACTCTTATTAATTAATCATTAATTTACAAGTTAAGAATAAACTTATTTACTCTGCATGAATGCTGCTGCAAGCATAATTTTATCTAAAGCATTAAAAGCACATAGCTGAAAGACTTATGTATTTGTGGCTAAAATCCATGTCCCAATGTCTGCTGCACATCTCAGCAGACATTTGAAAATAGACCCCACTATTCTAGAGCTTTATAAGGCTTTGAAAATCCAAAGTGAAGAAAATCTTCTACATTTTTTTTTCTGATTGACAATGTATCTCACATAGAAAAGGCACATGCGAAAGACAAGTAATCCATTAGCCTCCTCTAGGTGAAGGGGAACACGAGCAATTGTGGCAGCTCCCTGCCAGGCCTCTTGCCTCCACTGGTCATTGAGTTCTATAAACAGCATTATTTGTTCCCTAGTTAGTATAAATGGGTATTTTTCCTAAAACCATGACAATATGAATGTCTGCTGGCCATTCCAACGGGCAACGGATGTTGGAACAGCAACCTATTACAGAGGTAGCTTTTTTTACAACTGCTGAAGCTGGAAGGCTCTGGCTAACCACCATCCAGGAGTACCTTTGGACTCAGGAAGAACAGCATCCACGGTGCCAGCAGAGTGCAAGAGGTGCAATTGAACCTCATGGATGGGCTTGACAAAGGTAAGCTGAGCAAAGGTGGCTAATTTATGGCTCTGTGTGCCTAGATCCAACCTTCTATGTATGGAAACAGGATGTGTTAATGGGCTTGGGCATTACCACTGTGATAAAGAAATGGATGTTACCACCAAGGACATACAATAACAGAGACATCTGGCTGTTGAGCAGGGCAGGGCCTTTGCCAGTACTATTCAAATGGACATATCCTGCAAAGCTTTTACAATGTTTGCTTAGAATGAGAAAGGTTTGTGGGCAGATCTATCCTATGCAAAGTCAGATCAAGTGAAAAATGGGTATTGCTTTCAGTAAGTCTTGGCACAAGAATTTTCACATCTTGCTATTACCTACAAGCCTCCCACCAGGATACCAACCAACAAACAATCTTGAAGATTTCTATGTTTATGATTTACAGCTGAAAATTGGTCTGTAGCACACTGTGGATGTTGCTGGAAATACATCTTTCATTCCCAGTAGTCAACAGAGACCCACAACTGTCTGCCACCAGTTGCAAGCTTAACAGGTCTTAATTCAGCTGACAACTCTGCAATTTTATCTTTGTATAGCTAGGAGTTCCTGTCCTCTCACAGCTTCAAGCTGCTACAAAACTCTTCATAGAGATGCTTTACTTCTGCTAATGTTTTCACCCCTTCATACCTCTCACTGAGTATCAGGAAAAGGCAAGTTTAGCTGTAGGCTCCGGCCCACAACTACCAACTTTGGCACAACACCAGAAAATGTACTAAGTGGCTTAAGGAATGACACCTTTAGTTTGAACAGACTATGGTGCATTCCTCTTGAAAGCTGGTGATGATGTTTCCATTAATTTATTTCAAAAGGAGAGAACAAAAGCTCAGTGAGCCGGCTCAGAGGGAGCTGCTTTCCAGACTGGTTGGTTAAGGAGCCTCTGGCCAAAAGGGTACTGGGGTGGAACAGTTGCACCTTTTGTTATGACTGTAACAGAGCTTGAATTACCTGGGTTTAGTATGAAAGTCCTGAAAACTGCTCTTGGAATAGGCTGAATTAGGTTAATCATAAGCACCAGTGATTTTCCATTGTTCTGCGAACAAGGAAAGCCGTCGGCTTACAGTGACATCTTTCACCATTAATTAATCAAAATCTAGACATGCTGAATTGTGTATCACAACTGGCTTCTCAACAGCTGCTGAAAGTACTAGAAAATCCATTCACTGCCACACAATAGCTGCCTTGATAAATCACAAAACAGAAGATAGTGGTTCTTACCTTTCAGAAGGCTCAGCACCAGGCCGAGGCACACAGCGAAGAGCACAGAGCGTCTCATTGCCACTTCTGCTGCTGCTGCCACTTGCTGCTAAGCCTAAGAGAAAGTGCCTTTCTCTTCTGGCGTCAGCTCATTTAAGGTCCCAGGCACAGGTAAAGAGCTCAGCCCTGAACTGACGTCATGGTGGCAAGTGGCAAATGATAAATTCAAGCGGTGTTTTTCTTCCTCCTCAGGCTGGGAGGAGATTTCTGGACCTGCAGCGTTCTTCCTTTAAGTCATAAATACTTGAGATCTGTTGACACAAGGAAGTTACTGCTAAATAAGCTGACATGGGAACTGACAGTGCACCAGCTATCCCCTGCCAGCTTTCCATACCAACACCTTCCACGCAAATTAAATGAAGAGTGCAGTATAATCTGTTCTTAAAGTGGAAGAGGTGACCCTACCCCAAGCCACGCTAATTATGCACTTGGAAAAGAGTACCTGGGATCCACATGCTCACTTCCCTTGCAATAAATCACCAGTACAGACGAGCTTCATTCCTCAAACTCCAATTATTTTTTTCTTATAAGCAAAATCTTATGCAAAAGCACTTCTTACTTCTTAACAGGGTCAAAAGAAACAGAAAACTCCTGCATCTCTGACATCAAAGAAACAGGTCTGACATTGGCCCTTCTGGCAGTGATCATGGCTGTTTTGTTTGCTGCCCTCTTATGTGTGTTGCAGGCTCACTGAAGTGGTGAGCGAAAAGAGGAGCAGGCAGGACAGCCAGCAGGTGTTTTTGTCTTTATCTGAGTGGCAGCCTCCCTTTCTTGAGAGAAAGTGTACTCCTGATAGAGAGACATTGGTAACCAGGGAATGTCAGGCTGGAGCAGAAAGCCTGCAGCAGGTCTAGAAATGACAAAAAGCCCAGAAAGGCGTTAAGCAGGTAACCCTGCTGTGATGCGTGGAAAATAGGTTGGAGACTGAGACTTTTTAACGTTGTACTCTAGGAAGCTTCTGAAATGGCCAGTGAGAGACCAAGATGGGAAAAAGGTCTCTGTGGGCAGGAGTTGGTTATCCTGCCCAAGTTTTCCAGTGTTTGTTCTGCCTTGTGCTCCAGTAAAATGCACTGCTTCAAAGTCTCTTCTAGCTGCCTCCCCTGCCCAAGTTTTCCAGTGTTCTGCCTTGTGCTCCAGTAAAATGCACTGCTTGAGATCAGCTGGGCCAGATCAGTGATTTCCAGTTCCTCCTTTTCAGGCAAAGGTGTAATTTCTCTAATTTTGAAGATCTGAGTGTCTCTGTATCCTGCCACAACTGCCAGTAAAGTCTTTCTCTGAAGAAAACACAGGTTATGCCATCATTACTAGACAAAAGGAGGACGAACAACCCATCAGTGTATCCCCTGAAATGCCGCTTCTAATGGCTATGGTCCTGGTCTCCTCTGGCAGACCCCACTGCCAGCAACACAGGCAGGTTATGAACACACTACTGAATGCCACGTAACAGCTCAGTGTAGTAAATGCCTCTCCCTTCATCTGCTTTTGTTTGATTTTCTTTTTTAAGAACAAGAAATGCAGTCTTGGGTAATCTCCTTGAATGAAGGAGGGTGAGAGAGACCAAAAGTATTACTCAAAGTCATTCCTGAGCAACTTTTAACTTGCACTGAACCAGGAAACGCTGTTGGCTTACAGACAGCAAAAATGGTTGTGTGCCATTGCCTCTGTTGGCACAAGGAATGAGCAGCCTTGTCCCTCTGTGAACCTGCTCAGGATGCTGAGCCTGAAATGTGGGGGTTTTGCCTGTGCCTTCCTTTGTATCCCTGTCCCTGAAGTCCCTCCAGTGTGACCTGTTCCCCACACCTACCCCTAGTCCTCACAGTGACCCCCTCTCCCTCTCTCTGCTCCTTCAGGCCGTGCTGGATTCAGCTCCTACCCTGCTGCTGCTCCCTCCCATGCCCACTGCCCATCACTGATCATTCAATTCCTCCAGGCCCCTCCTTAAAACTGCCTTGCCAGGAAGCTGACAGAATAAGAGAAGGAAATGCCTGGGAAATGTTTGGCCCCAGTGCCCTGTGCCTACCTGCTTGGCCAGCCTCCACCTCAGGCCACCACCACCCTCCCAGCTTCAGGGCACATCCAAAAATGAATCTCAAAGTCTTGTTAGAATAACATATTTCAGTGCTGTGAGCCCCAGACCCCAGCAGGTGCTTCAGGCACAGCTTTATGTCCCCCATCCTCTGGCAATGTCCATCTCCCAGACTTACACTCTTCAGTCTTCATGGTACACTCTGATTTTCCAATGCTGTCTCAAGATGCAGCTAGACAAATCCAGCTCTTAAAATCTCCCTGTTGGCTGTAAAGCAAGTGCATGGGACCAAAATATCTTCTGAGGGCACTACAGAAAATGAGGGCCAGGTCTCTAGCAGGTGTAAATGGTGCCGCTTTTCTGCCTACACTGGAGACTACAGGTTGAGTGTGCAGTCCTGCACATTAGAACTGTTTTCTAGTGAATGCACATCAGGAGCTGGTGTGTTACCTATATTTTTAAACTTTACTTCCATTCCTACCTGGTTGTTTATGTTTATTACGATCACAGCTTTGGCAGTGTGAGTCATTTGCAATTCAAAAGGCCCCGGTTCCTCCAGGAAATAATGGAATGAACAGACATACATTTCAGGGACTAGCAGTTTTCATCTCTGCTTGCCCTTCCCTGTCCATTTTGTGACACATCAGTGGTCACAACAGGCTCTCTCCAGTAAGGAAGGTGACATGCTCTATGTGTCACATTGCTTGGTGATTTGTGGGGGAATTAATTATAGAGATATGGTGGTTTAGGAGAACAACACAGAGAATTAACCAAAGAGGAGAACTGATACCAGTGAAACTGCACTTACTAATTAAGTCATTAAGCACAATAAAAAGCTGACTGTTAGTCCAGACAGACTCACACAGCCACAGAAATTGTGATGTCCTGCAAGGAACAACAGGGAAAACTTCCTTTGCAGAAATAACTCAATAACTTTCCAGAGGCTGTAAAATCAAACTGTTGTGTGCCAAAACTCAGATATGACAATCAAGAACACTGAACAATTATTATGGAATAAAAAATATGTTATGTTTAGTAACAGTAGCTGCTCTATTGTCAATACTTTTTTATGGCAGGAAAAAGAAATACCAAAACTAAAGGGCCTTATCTATCTATTAGAAAGCGCATGCAATCAAGAGGCAATCATGCTGTCAGAAGAGAAAGTAGGAAAAATTGTCTTTTACAGCTGTTTATGTGCATCAGCTCAATATTTTTTTCTGCACATTTTTCAATCCTTTTTCTTACTAGATTCCTCTACATTTGCTATTTCTTGTAAATTTGGTTCCTCCACTATATATGACATATATGAGTAGAAATATATGACATATATGAGTAAAAATATATGTTTTAATTAGCTAGAAGTTTTTTAAAAAGCTTCAGAAGTCTAAATCAAAGCTTAAGCTATGGATACAGATTCATATATAATCAGGGGAAACAGATGTTCTTTAACTTCTTTTCAGGTGGTTCCCAAGAGTTTGAGGGCACACACTAGGGATTCAGTGGTCTCAGAGGCACTGATGCAAATCTGAAGTGCGTAGGGCTGTTAAATCATGTGCTTGTCCATAACCCAAAGATCTTTTACTTAGTCCCATGGAAATGTTGTGACCCGTGGTTTTACGCTGCCAATTTCCCTTTACGCTGCCAATTTCCTAAAAGATACCAGCATCACACAGAAAGCAGAATAACACGAGACAGTATGTGATCTCTCACCATGGGGTGAGGTGCTCTCTGTGGGTGTGTGTCTGTTTTCATGCCTACTGGGAGAGCCAGATCATGTGTTCAAACTGGCCACCTAACTTTTCATAGAACAGATGAATCCACCTTAGTCCCATCTGATTTCTGTCACAGTCGTACTGCGCTGGAGCAACACTGAAAAAATTGCCCCAAATGAACATACCTGCCATTGCTCCAGATGCTCTTCCAAATCATGCCTCTTCTCAGCAGCCTGAGCTGGATTTGGTGTTCCTCTGGATTCAAGGTGCCCTCCTTCTTCCTTTGAGGGACACTCAGCTGGGCACTCTTCACTGTCCCTGCTGGTTTTTACTGGGACAGGGCTGATCTCATGGTGGTCATCTCCAGCCTTTTTCCCCTGCAAATAGCCTCTCCTGAGGTTTTCCTCCCCTCCAACATGCACTCACACACATAAACACACAACTTTACCAATTCCAACAAAAATTAAACTGAGGAAAAACTAAAATTAGACCAAGTTGCTTGGTGCCACCAAGATAAATGTATCAGAAGACAACTTGTGTTCCAGCTGAGCAGAATTTTGTTTGGCACAACTAACAGAACTTACCTATTTCCTCTTTGCTTTTCAATTTAGTTATTTGTTCAGGAAGCACCATCAGAAGAACAAAAGCAATTTATTTTCTATGCAATTTCTTATTTTCTGGATTAGATGTATAATAATAACTAAAAGCACCTAAAAATTGCATATGTTTCTCTTTACAGGAAAAGTTAAACACAATAAAAAAGCAGGGACATAGTAATATTCATTGTTTTATTGTATCCTTTTATGATACTGACTAGAACGCCAGATTTAATAATATTGGATGCAGGTATAAAAATAATCCAATCCTTAAAAATTATATTTTGCTACTACAGTACTGTATAATTAGTGGAGGCTGAAATTATGATACAACTTTAAATAATACTGGTTTGGAAAACATCCTCAGAACCCCAGAGACTTGGAAGCAAACATTCAGAGACAGAGGAAAGGGAGTGGAGCAATGTCAAGAACATAAAGCAGGTTTACATTCAGGTTGTAAAGAAGCACAAACAAATGCTGAAAATTTATCTTTTGGAAGGGAGTTCACAAAAGGTGAGCTTTACTACTGCAGTTCTAAAAGCTGCTTAAATAAATCATTATGATTTTACACACCAAGTTTCACCTTTTACTGGGAGAAAGTCCAGTAGAATTTAATGGGTTTAAAGCAAATAACTGAGTTTAACAGAATTTCCTTTAAAAAGTGAAGGTAGTAAATATTTACAATATTTACCCTGTCCAGCTTTTTTTTTTTTTTCTTAAGTTAGATACACCTAGAAGATTTTATTGAAGACTTTTTTATGTCCA